AAGAGAAATCAAATCATTATGTTTAATTGATTTAGACATTGTCTTTATTTAATTTCCGGACATAGCAGTGATTAGAGCGATCAAACATCCAACATCGTGTACACTGTTCATATGAATGGGTCAAGAATCGATTGCATGTATTACATTTGATATGGCAGTCTGAGCAGTACCAGTTGGAAGCCAGTGATTTATTGCAAGTACCACAAAAGACTTGAGTCAAGTTCATACTGGGTGAGGTTGGAGGAGAAGGTAAGCAGTTCATCATAAAGAATTAAAAGGAGCGAAGTGGAATAAAAGAAAAAGGAAAAAAGAATGTAAACAGTGAAAATAGTGAGAGAGAGGAAAGAAAGAAAAAAAAAAAAAAAAAGGAACGATAAAATAGATCAAGCACATACACAGACTTTGGTCAGGTTCTTATTCTTTTCTCTCTCTCTCTTTCTAGACTTTATTTATGCACATGTATTCTGTAGACATTATTTTATTCTCCTGAAATTATCTTTGCTCTTTCTTTTTATTTCACCCCCACTTTTTCACTCTTTCAAATGGACAAATACTCATGGCTTACAATTGCGTTTTACTGTAATAAAGAAGAGTTTGAAGAAAATAATCTCTTTTTCTTCTTTCTTATTCTATGCTTTGATATGATAGGGTTCAATAAATGCAGGTGGTTACTGAGCTATTTCAATATCCTGATGTACCTTGACGCACCGCTTGTGAAACTTTTTAATAAAAAAAAAAAGCGTGCTTTCATGTCCAAGGCGTTATGTCGATTTAGTTATTGCCCCGGACATTCAATATATGATAAAATATCCCTATTTAAAAGTTATCAAAATATTTTCCGATTGAGTGGTGTTTGAATGGATGCTTGAGCCACACAAAGCAAATGGACCATAAAACCAAGGATAGAATAAATAAGTTCTTTCGTCTGTTACACGAATTAATAAAAGATAATTTATTCCACTTCAAGTTGTCGTATTGCCACAATTGAATCTAGGATGTGGTCAGAGCTTTTTAAGTCACACTTGTAAAGTTGAATGCACATAGTGATAAACTCTATTTCTTTCGTCTCTTTTCCAATCAATATGTCATATAAAAATATGAAGAGTATGCATAACAATGCAATATAAGCAACTAATTCATATCTCATTGAAGGAAAGAAGGAGACGTGACAACTGGAAGCCAATCTGGTGAAGCTATTATTTGCACAAGAGATCGCTTTGTATAATTTAAACAACGGTGGCTCTCAAAGTATGCCACGTGTAGCTTAATAATATATCGTATATGATTGTCAAGGGCAACGCATTTCGTAGAGTTTTACCTGTAACCAGCCTGTAAACTATGTTGTTCACATACCTTGGGCGGATCTTGCTGTGCAGATCTACATATAAGAGACAATCGGCCATGGGTACGGCTGTCACAAGAGGTAACCTGTTGTAAAAAGCTCTCACACAGGGAGATTGTTAATATAAATCGAGTATAAATAAGATCTTTGTTAGTGTATGAACACATTGAGGGAAAACACTAGACAAAAGCATTTCAATAAGCACGTTATTAAATAAGATGTCCAGAAGCCCCTGGGTTCTTAAAGACGTAATCATCATTTCACTATCAACCGACGTTAATTTATAGGCTTGCGACATTGGTTATTCATTTATCGCGATATTACTTTTTAGGAATTCTGTGCCTTTTATAGTATGTACTATTGCTCGTGCTTGCAAAAAGGTGCTCATAAGGAAATAATGAAAACAGCGAGGTAAAGTATGTTCCTCTTATGCTTAAGAACCAAGCTAGAAGAATAAAGAACAAAGATGTATAAGCACTTTAGAGGACTTGTTCGGTGGGAGGACAAAGGATGTTGTCACCCAGCCAAGGTAGCATCTTTAATTAACCCATCTATAAGAGGAAAAAGCGGCGGTGCTTTCTCGAGTTTATTGTTGCTTTATTTATTCATTACATGCTTTCAAATTAACAAAGATCTCTAGTCATATTCCAAGTTTTAACTATTGCATTTTTTAAATACAACAAAATCTTTAAATGTGCGCCAAGTAAAATTTTAGATAAAGACTGTACAAATTTATGTGGTCATTTAAATATCAAACAGTGTGAAGTAGCCAATAAAAAAAGGAGTTTCAAAGGGAGGGAGGGGAAGAAGGTGTACATAAAATATACAAGAGAGAAATTTACAAAGAAATGATAGGTTGAGCTTTATAATCTACACTATGAGAACGTGGTCGACGTTGTTTATGAGGTATGAAACAAGAATCTTGTACGAGTGGGTTATTTGCTCTAATAATAAACTGGGGTTCTGTTGGTTGATATATACATGTTGTATTTGCCAATATTTGCTGTAACTCGAGGCAAGCATCTTGAATATCGTTCATATCAAACTGACCGAGTTCATATTGTACAGCAGGTTTACTTGAGGAAGGTTTCTTTGGACAAGGAGCGATAATTACATGCATTATTTACAAATAAAAAAATATTTACGAAAAAGAAATAGCTTGTATTCTCTTTTTTACTTTATTTTCTCTTTTTATACATGTACCACTTGACTGAGTAAAATGATGTATAAAAAAGGGGGGAACGGGTCACAGGTTAGAACATAACCACCTGCTTACCCTTTGAGAAACCTGATATTCCCAAGTCAACAGCCTTCTTCATTTCTTCTTGTTCAAATTCAACTCTTGTCCATTTAGGTTCCCTCAGCTTTCCTTGCTTCATCAGTTCCATGACATCTTCAAACATGGCATATCGTTCCTCTGGTTTATGGATTTCGGCCCATTTAGAAACCCAGAAGCCATGAAAGGAAATATTTTTAAAAATTAATAGTGATGCAGGTAATGTCAACGGACTCTTGGACATTGCACCATATGTTACATATTGACCATTCGTACTATAAATTTTGATTATTAAATATAACTTGTATACAATATGAAGCTTACCCTAAATATCTTGCCATTTCAGTAGCAGGTTTACCACCTACACAGTTTAAGCCCAAGAGAGGTGGTTTATCTCCTACCCAGGATTTGATACGCTTTCTCATTTCATGGCTGCCTAACTCCTCATCTGTAATAACGTGGGTTGCACCAATTTCCTCTAGTTCATTTACCAGTTGGTCGAGCTCTGGCCTAATTTGGTAATTTAGTGAACCAGACTCCTTCATGTTGTGTATTTTATATTACCTATTTCTTACAATATTAATTGTATTTAAACCCCATGCTTTAGCTATCTGAATCACTGCTTGGCCTACAGCACTGTTGCCACCATTTTGTATAACATAATCACCTTGAAGATTATATGAATTTTTTTTGCTTTCTTTATTTTATTTATTCATTTTCTTACCTGGATTTAATTTAACAAAATCCTTCAACATTCTATAAGCCGTGCACGGGTTCACTGTCATTGTTGCCTTTTGAATCAAGGGTACTTCAATCTTGGGGAGCAACTGGAAATCCGAAGCTAAACCAGCAGCATGCGTGCGCCAAGTACCATAGCCTGATTTAGCCATCACTACTTGATCACCCACCTTCAAGTCTTTCACTTGTTCACCTACAGCAATCACTTCGGCTACACCTTCATTACCACCTACAGCCAATTCACTATCGCCTAATTTTTGCATCATCGGCTTGATGGGATAAGCACCTTGTATCATATTGACATCGGCTGGATTGATAGGTGACGCAAGAAATTTAACGTGAACTGTGTCAGCCGTCAAGGCAGGAAGCTTGAACGAGTGCATTCTACAGTAACGTTATGTATATTGCCCTCTGTTTGCGTTGTGTATCATCCTGAATCTTACCTCAATACCTGGGAAGGCTGGCCATAGTCAGAGTATACCATCGCTTTCGCGGTGATATCAGATGTATAATAGCGACGAGCAACGTATTGATTGACAGACACACGCTGTCTTAATGAATAAACCAAAAAACCCATAGCTGTGTAAAAGAAATAGAGAAGAGAAAAGATGGTTGCGGCAAAAAGTTTAGATGATGAAAGGTTCAGACAGTCACGCGTTAGCCAAACTCTTCTCTTTTTCTTTTTCATTCTTTTTTTACAACACATACAGATATGATAAACCAAAGGACGCGTTATGAACATATCCTTGATATAGACAACGACTTAACAATGCAGGAAAAATAAACCAGCTTGGCCTTTGTTGATCAGCATAACTGGAAAAAAAGAAATATGTCTATCCAATTGATGGCTCATAAATAACTGTAAGGACATCTTTCAATTAGATCATTTAAGTTACTATCATTCAGATGATTAGTAAAAAGTAAACATGGCATATATTCAATTCTAAGAGTAAAGAAAAAAAAATTAAAAACTAAAGAAAATTGTTGCGTAGCTATGACGTATTGCAAGAAGAACACAAATTGCCATTGACGAGAACATTACAGAAAGATCTGTATGTCAAGTCTGTCAACAATGAAAGAAAAATGGAACAGTAGAGATAAAACCTAAGTCTGGAAGGTCACCTCTTTTCAATGATAGAAAAAGAAGAGAACTAGGAAGGGCTGTACGTGCCAATCGCCTTGCTCTACTTAACGAAATTAGACATTTGATCAGCACGAAAGCCTCTGAAAGAGCAATTCGCAGGGAGTTGAGAAAACTTGGTTATGCTTCTCGTGTAGCTGTCAATAAACCATTTTTAAATGAAAGCAACAAAAAGCAAAGTATGCTTTTGCAAAAAATCATGCCAACTAAACAGCAGATGACTGGAGAAAGGTGGTCTGGACAGACGAGTCGAGCTTCGAAATTGGCAAGCAGTCGTCACTGCCCAGAGTAGCGTAATGCTTTGGAAAAATACAGCAAAGAATATCTGCCGCCAACCTTCAAAAGTGGTACAATTTCAATCATGGTTTGGAGCGCCATAGCTGGTAGAAAGAAGTTAAAACTTGTGTTTATGAAGAAAGGTACGAGAACAAGTGCCGACTTCATAAACCAGGTCTATGAGCCAGTATTACTAGACTTTTACAGAAATCTAGATAGTCCTGTGCTCATGGATGATGGTGCACTCGTCCATAGAGCAAAAATTGCTGTCGAATGGAGGGGGGCAACGGGCATAAAGAAGATGTCTTGGCCGGCTCAGTCACTGGATTTAAATCCAATCGAAAATTGTGGAGCATGATGAAGAAGAGAGCTAACGCTCTACGCCCTATGCTAAAAATCAGCAATTCATGGAATTAGCTTTGAAGATTGTTTGGAGGGAGTTTGCTCCAGAAAGCATCAACAAATTAATTGACTCTATGTCGAAGAGGACCAAAGATGTTATAAAAGCTTGTAGTGGACCCATCAAATATTAGGTCAATAAAAAATTCAAAAATTGCTTTATAACTCTTTTTTTTCGATATTCTAATGTAGATGATCTTTCTTCATCATTTGTGTTATCTTATAACTGTAGCAAAGCTACAAAAGGGTCACTTTCTTTACTGTTTAGTCTTTAATAGCGTTAAAAAAACTGACTTTTAAAAAATGGACTATACCTTTGTCTGGGCACTGTAGAAAGATGTAGGTTTTCAAGATCAGCTTTAAGCTGTCTCTGTCATTTATTGGCTAAACGGCTAATGCCGTTGATCGATTGGATGCTGTAGACCCTGAAGCCTATCATTGGGACTTTCAGAATGAGACCATATATTTTAAACAATAAAATTATGAAAAAGTGGTACAATTTGTAGTCAGAGCGATGACACCAAAACATGCTTCTAGATTATTATGCAGATTATTCGAGAACTATGACTCCAATCTTAACCCATTACATCTGGCACGGGATTAAGAGGCGCTATATATAATAGCTTCTCAATAGCCATGACAAACGGATGCTATGAAATTGCTAATATCTCAAGGTCGTTATGAGAAAAGAAGAGTATTCAATGCACCAGTGCAATACATAGTCTATTACTCTAGTTCATTCTTACCTGTCTCATTTAAATAAGAGACGCACTACTCCGGGCCACCAACTTCTTGCATATCATCTACAGGATATAAATAACCCTATGATCACTTCTCGGTCCTCAAGTACCCATCTTCTACTTTTAGTTGTTTATATACAATAATTTCTAATATGGAGTCTTGTTGATCGACAATCTATAGTAACAAATTCTCCATCTTTGGCATTAATCTCGTACAAACCTAAACTTTGAGGAAAAGCCCGCCAGAAAAACTTCATGACTCAACAAGCTCATATGTATTGACAAACTACACTTTGTGTGCTTCTTGTAAATAATAAAGGAATTCTGTATTGAGTCGGTTCAAATTAAGATAATTTTTGTTACATTAGACTGTTCTCCTGAGAAATACATATATACTTTTATATACAGTTGCATATACGAGTACAATTTCTATGACAACGAAAGGCCATGTACTTTTTCGTAACAATAACAAAGCTCCATCAACCTCTGTTATCATGATATATAAGCTACCCGTGCTATCATTGTATTTTCGCATGGTTGTTAACATAAGGCCTAGAGTTTAGTCGTAACTTTTTAGTCTTTTGTCTGTTTATTTCAAAAGAGATCACGTATAAGAAGATCAAACAGGTTATAATGGCCCAATGGCATAATATAGGGACAACATGAGTTGGTTAAAGTGTGTGTGTATCTGACGAAAGTATCCGTAGTTTGTGTAAGTAACATCTCGGTTTTAATGTTTTATATAATCCTTAAGACGTTACAATGATGATCGACAGAGTCACATTAAATGAGACACGATCAGCATCTATCTTGCAACAGAACTCACAAACTGTGCAATGACCTCTCTCTCTCGGTTAAACAAGCAGATGTACATGTTTTCGTTGATGTTACAGTATCAGGTTGGACAACGTAACATGGGCTAAACTTTTTCATGTTTGTCCTTATTCCTCAAGCTTGGTTTATGACGATAAAATGAGTGCAAAAGCACTGTGATAATAAAAAAGTGTGTGTGTATTATTAAACATGAAGAGAGGAGAAAAGAAGAAAGAGAAATGCAAAAGTGATAGCGACTGCTGTTCATATAATCAGCCACTGAACCACCATTGTCGTACAACAATACATCCAATGCATAGCACATAAAAGCTGTTTCTATGTACCTGCTTAGAATATTGCATAGACTGTCAATAAATGCAAACGAAATCAAAGCCAAGGTATACAAAAAAGTAAGTAAAATGATATAAATGGAAAACCTAATAGCTAGAAGATAAAGATCACTTAAAGGGCACATGTGATAACCAAATATGTTTGATCTACCATTTGTGCCCTTAATATGAAATTTCTGTCACCCACACTGACCCTATCTTTGTTGACGAGATGCTTAAAATAGCATAGGGTGACCCACTGCCGCTTCATGCTCTTCCCCCCATGCGGAATTTTTCCAGCTTTTCTTTACACAAATAGAGATACACATACAACCATAAGTAATACTGCTCCCACGGTATTTTGTAAAGCTTTATCAGTATAGGTTGTAGTAACCATAGTTATACCGAGCCTAATTGTTATGCTCTCTTTTGTTACCATGGTCTATATCAAGACATATTAAAAAGGAGTCTATATTACCCCCAAACAAATACAACATAATGGGAAAGGCCATATTGGAGAAAGATACAAATCGCAAACTTTATTTATGCATATCAAGTCGACTCTATGCAGAAAGTATCCGCGTGTAACATCGAAAAAGGAACCGCTTTAAAAGTAACAGAAAATGAAGAGAGTGAATTAATGAATTATCTCCTTTTTTCTCTACTTTTTTTTCTTCATGTTTATTGACGTTTCGACTCTTCCTACTTACTTGACTGCCTTACCATTATATGATGATCAAGTACTACTGCCAAGTATAATCAAAGACTTTGTTGTTTGTAAATCAGAATCAGATAGATTGGTTGATACAGAGTATATCATCTGCGTACCTATGATCGAAAACAATCTATATCACTTTGGATGTGTTGGAAAAATCATTGAAATTGACACAGGCTTACCAGATAAGCATGTTGTAAAAATTCAAGGAGTGTGTCGATCCCGTATCCAAGATATTACTAGCGCCGATGGAGGCGAAACGATACAAGTAACAGTTATTAATTATCCAGAGGAAGAGCAGTTACCTGAGAATATGAAAAGAGAGTTTATAGAAGCTTGTTATATGTTTATTGAAAAATTAAAGTCAATTGGCATCTCGATGGCAGTCTTGAACCAACTATATAAATCCGTACAGCGATATCCTGTCTCTCATATGGCCAATTTGTTACTCTATTTAGCTGACTCGACACTGCAAGAAAAATTATTAGTGCTTGAAATGATCGATTTACAAAAGAGAATACCAGTAGTCAAAAATATCCTCAGCCGTTATTTACAGGTAAGCTTTGTTTGCTTCCCGTGTTCCCATGCATAAAGAAATAAACAGTTTTCTTTCTATAGTCATTTAATATTAACCAGTTGGATTCTATCCGAAGAAAATTTTATATTCGTCAACAGGTATATCTTTCCCCCTTCTTTTCCCTCCTTTTTTAACCTTTTCTTTATATTATTCTGTATCATTTTTCTTTCTTTCTTTATTCATAGTCAAACATTATATCCTCCATGTGTCATAAAGAAGAAAAGACGACTTATTACTTTGATGCTTCAAGCGAAGATGATGATGACCTCGTACATTTGATCCAAAAACTAAATAATGCAAACTTACCTGAATATGTCATCTCTACTGTCCAACGAGATCTGAATCGATTAAGAAAATTACCTGCCTCCTCCTCTGATTCTGGTATTTTGAGAACATATATTGAATACATCGGCGATCTACCTTGGTCAAATAACGTTCGTCAAGAAATTAACATTTCATTTGCCAAAAATCAGCTCGATCATGACCATTTTGGGTACATAATCAAATTACCCCTTTGTTGATGTCTTGGCAGTGTCATTAACCCCCTTCTTCTTCCATATAGGATAGAGCATGTTAAGAAGAGAATCGTTGAATATTTGTCTGTGTTAAAAGTCAAGAGTGATGCTAAACCTCCTATCCTTTGCTTGGTGGGTCCAGTAAGTATCATTTATATCTTCTAAACCACATACTCATTGCTTTATAAAGCCTGGCGTAGGTAAAACAACGCTTGGCAAATCCATAGCCACCGCACTACAAAGAAAGTTCCACAGGATATCTTTGGGCGGCGTAAGGGATGAAGCGGAAATAAGGTTTGTTGGACCAAAACAATAACAAAGTTTAATACTCAAACTAAGAACAAAAAAATTAAAAAAGGGGTCATCGACGCACGTATGTAGGGGCCTTGCCTGGTATATTCATTCATGGTATGCGTCAGTGCGGCGTAAAGAATCCTGTTTTTTTGTTGGATGAAATTGATAAGCTCGTACAAGGAACACATCAGGGAGATCCCGGTAAGCATACATATAACACATGGAAACTTCTGCTTATCTTTTATATATAGCCGCAGCATTACTTGAAGTACTTGATCCTGCTCAAAATCCAACATTCAAAGACCACTTTTTGAATATTCCATATGATCTATCGCAAGTCGTGTTTATAGCAACTGCAAATAACCTTGATACTATACCTGCGCCCCTACTCGACAGAATGGAGGTAATCCAGCTCAGTGGATATACTTATGAAGAAAAATTACATATAGCACAAACCCATTTGATACCAAAGCAAATCGAAGCACATGGACTCACGACCACAAGCCTCAAGATACCTGACGATGTGGTTTTGTATATAGCCGAGAAATACACAAGAGAAAGTGGCGTAAGAGAATTGGAAAGACTGATTGCTACCCTTTGCCGCTACAAGTGCAGAGAATACGCAGATTTGGAAGAAGCAGGGAGACTGAATGACTTTGATAGTGTCATATACATGCACGATATAGAGCACATTCTAGGTGTACGTGTACTTTATTGTGTAAAAATAAGCTGTACTCACACAATATGTTCTTATCTAGAAAGAGATTTATGATAACGAAGCCTATCATTTGGAAGAAACAGCGGGGATTGTCACAGGACTAGCATACTCTAGCAGTGGTAATGGCGGCACCATGATGATTGAAGCAAATTATATGCCGGGTTATGGCAATCTTAAGCTCACGGGATCTCTCGGCGATGTCATTAAAGAATCGGCTCAAATTGCTGTCTCTTGGATCAAGGCAAATGCATACGCACTCAAATTGACGAGTTCGCCAAGACAAGATATTCTAAAAGACCTTGACTTACATATCCATATGCCAAGTGGAGCCATTCCCAAGGATGGTCCTTCAGCAGGCATCACAATGGCAACCTGTGTCATGTCCTTATTGTCTGGTACTCCTGTGCCAAGGTCCATCGCGATGACAGGAGAGATAACCCTTCGTGGCCAAGTACGGCCTGTAGGAGGAATCAAAGAAAAGGTGATCTCAGCGCATCGAGCTGGTATCAAGAAGATCATACTTCCTGTTGGTAACAAAAGAGATATACAACATGATATTCCAACAAGTATACAAAAAAGTATGACATTTATTTATTGTAAATCCATGTGGGATGTTATTGAAGCTGCCTTTGAGCATACTTCTGTACGTTATGAGCATAGATATACTAGTAGTTTGTAATAAAATTATCATTATCTTTAATCTTGGCAATCTCCTTGATTTATGAATGCAGTAAGGTATTATCCCCCTTTATTTATTTTTTTCCTTGCCAAGAGGTTCTCAAGGGAGGATTATTTTTTAAAATCAAACCGACAAACAAACAAACCATGTCTTGTTTTGGAACAAGCCTGTTGTAATGATCGTTCCCTTTTGTAGCCTCCTTCATAAAAGTATTTAATCTGTGACAAATAAGCAACAAAAGCAGCCGACATAATATATGTAATACACATCTTTCTTTCTTGCATATCTCCCTTTGTCTATATAAACACGCTCTCAGAGAGCACAAACAAATACAACCTTTAGATTAGGTGATTCTAATGCGTTTAAAATATGGATCATCTATTTGAGAGTATTAAGAAAGATCTATATGTATGTATGTAATAAAAACAGGGGTTTATTTTTGGCATATAATAACCCTCTCCCCTTTAGTCAATTAGTCGCCTCTTGTTGTTACGACCAAATGAAAACAATCGATATTTTGTATTTGACGAATTTGACCTATGACTTCATCACAGGACGAAAATCCTCTCTGATCAATTGATAGATGTGGCTGTTCCCCTCTTTTTTTTACAAATGATTTCAGTTTTTACGACTTGAGCATCATCGTAACCTTCGATCATTGCAAAATCGCGTTCTACTTTAGATACAAGATTTCATAAGAGACATGGAATATATTTTGTTCAGAGAGGAAGGGGAAAAAAGAAGAAATAAGCGTGTTTCTAATACGTTCAGGCCTACATTAGTTCTTTAAAGAGGATACCATGCATCATGGAACCTCGATCCGGGAGTTGTAGTAGACGAGTTGTACAAAACATATTGAATTTTATTGTGTCATGAACATTACAACCAAAAAAGGGAAAAATAAAGGCTAGGCCAACTCATGTCTATGCCTTGTTTTTCTTACTTTCTTATATCTCATGGATACAGATGGATAAATTTGACTGAACACGTTGATGTACTCCTGATAAAGGACATCCTTCTCTTACACACATACACACGCTCTCTCGTTCTCTTTCTCTCTCTTTGTGTATGCTGTGTGTACGTGTATATGTACCCTTGCAGAGGTATCACAAAGAGATTTACAAAATTGAGTGGTATTATATGATTAGCGGTTTAATGTATTATACATATAAACGAAGATATAAAATAATAATATATATTACAAATAAGTTAATATTGTGAATGACCTGGCTGTTGTTGTTGTGAATTATTTGGATGATCGTCAAATTTATAAGCAGGTGGAGGCGATATAGGCGTAGCACTCTCAAGGTTGACAGCATCAGAAGGTCGAACTGTAGCAGTATTGCCGTTATTGTTATTATTGGCTCCAGACGTTTGTTGCATCATGTACAAGTGAGCTTGATTTTCTTCTGCTAATCTCTTACGCATCCCTTTCACGCTTTTGATGATATACCATAACAATAATCCAAGAACGAGAAGACCGATGAATATGATAAACACAAATCTATTATGTTCCTTTAACCAACTCTCTTTAGTTGGTGATGAAGCATTTCCGGCAGGATCCCATCCTGTGCCCTGCACAGTAGGTTGTGGAAAAGCAATAACAGATGAAGTAGTTGCATTAATACCAGTTGCCGAAGGGGGAATAGAAGAGGATGGTACGGACATTGTCGACGATGATGGTAACACTGATGTGGACGATGTCGTTGATCCAGTTATGGTAGAATTAGCTGAAATAGTACTATTAGCATCTGTTGTAGTAATATTTAATTGGCCGGCAACGAAGGATGTCAACAGTAAGATAACAATAGCAGAGTACAAGAATGAATGATGTTTCATGATCGAAAATAGTTTATATAAAGGTCTATGAGATATGAGCTCGCACAAAAAGAATGATATTGATGTCTAGCTACGATGTGTATCAATGTTATTGTATAAAAGGAAAAGGAGAGGTAAGAATAAGAAAAAGAGGAGGAAAGGAAAGGAAAGGAAATGAGGGGCAAATAGGAAAAAAAAAAGTCTTTTCAGTTACCGCCACTGGCGGCACACAATTGACGGTATCTTGAAAAAGATTCTCGAATCAAAGACTTTAAGGAAAAGGAAACACTACACACACCACAAAATGGTATCTTGGTAGCTCAAAACGAATAGTGTAACATCAAATGATTGACAACATTTCATCGTTTGTTATGTACGTAATAAATTATCGATTGGGACAATTAAGTATTTATTGGATGGTATAAACAGTCTAGTCTATAGTACATAATATATATATGGCGTATTTCATGAGAAATATCAATTTACTCTGCGTCTTCATCTTCATCTTCTAAACCAGCGTCTTCATCATCTTCATCCGATTCGTTTACTTCACGATCAATTAAAGGTTTGATCAAACGGTTGAAGTAAGGGTGAGGTCCTTGAGGATTGGATCTCTTTACTTGATCAAAGTAATGAACATATACGTTTCCATCAGCACGGCCTAAGGGGCTGTTGACGATGTAGTCACTCAAGTTGAATGCATCAACAAGAGGGATAGCTTGGTCTCTTACTGCTTTACAAAGATCATTTGTGAAGGAACGAATGGATTCCATTTGCTTTGGTGAGAAATATCCATATTGTAAGAAGGCTCCAGCATTCTCTTCAATGGTGTAGAGACCGTAAAGAAGACAGACGTCCAGCAAGGCTGCCTTGAGATTACCTTCAACCTTGGAAACACCATCAAGGAAACGGTTGAATAAGTAGCCATAGGAATGTAACTTTGCAGCGTAAAGTCTTGATTGAGAGCATTGCTCATAAGCATCATCAGCGCTTAATCCTTGTTTGATACATTCTTCAAATTCGAGAGCAGCGTTTCTGACTACGTTAGCACAAACAACCTGCCAACCTTCAAGAATGACCTTGGGATCTAAAAGAGCATCTGAATTTGTAGCATTACAACGCTTTCCAATCAACGCATCAAGGTTATTCAAGTAGCCTACACCTGGAGAGAGTTTTTTTCCTTTGACAGCCTCACGGAAGCTAGCGATGAGGTAACGTCCCAATTGGAGTGTCAAAATGGTATTGTCACCTTCCCAAGTGCATTGCACAGCAAAATCTTGATACATGCCAGCCAAGCCAGTGTAAGCTGAGTATCCATGGCCACCACAGGCCTGTCTGCAGGCTTCGATCGTGCTAAGACAATTCCATGTACAGAAAGCCTTTAAGCCAGCACTCGTAGCGTGGGTTTCTTTCAACATTTCAAGTACTTTTTCAAGGTCTGTATCACCTGGTTTTGCGTTTTCCAATCGGCTCATCATCTTATTGTACATCTCTGTCATTTCAGAGCCTGTAAACAACATAGCAAAGGTTTGTGCAAGGAGAGGCATCAGACGACGTTGATGGATTGGATAGTCGAGCAGTTTAGTTTCAATCTTTGAATCTGAGTTGGAAAACTGACGACGAACGGCAGCGTATCTTATGGCAATAGTCAAAGCTTTCTTGGAGACGTTACCGCTATCAACAACCATAGCAACACGACCTTGAAGTAAAGCACCATATGTCAATTGCTGCAATTTGGGTTCCTTAACTGTGCCCGTACGAGACACCTTGGTGTGTTTCATCAACATATAGCTGCGAGGGATGCGAACATGGGTAAATTGGATCCAACCGTTGTCAATGCCATCACGACCCATTTTTTTGCCAATGTCACCAATGTTCACACCAGGCAAGAGATTGTAGGTCTTGGGGTCTCTCAAGGGAACAACAAAGCACTTCGTTCCATAGTTTTTACCCTTTACGATTAGTTGTGCAAAGACAGCAGCATGAGTAGCACTATGGGCTGCACCACCAATCCACCACTATGAAATGACTTAGGAAAAAGTGGAAATGACATGAGCTTTTAAACATACCTTTGTGGCAGTAAGAGTAGGAGTATGAATGATGAATTGATCTGAGGCTTCGTCAAAGGTAGCAGTGGTTTCTAAGCCAGGTACATTTGAACCATGGCCAAGCTCGGTCATTGCAAAGCATCCTACCATGCCTGAAAGTGACAGAGCACCCTTTTGAAACCAGTATCCTAGTTGGCCTGAGGTGGCATTGCTTTGTAAAGCGCCAACGAATAAACCGTCTAGGATCCCATTCAATAACACGAAATAATAATAAAAAAAATGATCTACTTACAGTGAACACCGAACCTTGTCCAAAATCCAGGGTCGATTAAGCTCACAATTTCCATTCTTTTCTTAAAGACATCAATAGGTTCATTGGATAAATGATGTACTAAGGAACGAAACTAGTAGATAAAATGAGTTAAAAGTAACCACCACGCATTGTATAAATACCTTTTCCATTGTTCTCTCACGTAATTCATCCTTGGTGATATCGTGAATGTCATCCATCTTGAACAAAGGATCTCGTTCAAACTCTTGCATGAAGCGTTCTTTGAGCTAATATCGTTTGTATTAGAAATTGATATATTGTTTCCAAATTGACATATTACCAGCGTACTCTTTTCTCCACCGTCCAAAAGGTAAGTTAATTCACGAATATTGAAAGAAGCCTTTGCTCTTTCTTCATTCATACTTTCAACAGGACTAGGCACGTATTAGATCATCATCCTTAACAGAAAAGAAACACTTACTCGATAGCCTTTGCATAGACTTGTTCATCAGTCAAATGCTGTTTAACAGCAGCTAATCTTTGTTTAATAGGCATTAAGTTTTTGTATTGAAAAAAGAAAAGAAAATAAAATAATGTGATAATTGTCCTCTTCTTTATATGCTATTTCAATTATTTTTCACATGTCTATGAATTCATATACAGATTACCCCGCATTATGTCAATCTCATATTGTCAGTTACTCTTTCTTTCTCTTTCTCTCTATCTCTCTCTTTTTCCTATTCTATCTCTCTATTTTTTCTCATATTTTATCTTCTTATTATATATCAGCTCATAAAGGCTTTGTCTGTTAAAGATGACGTTGTAATCTCTTTATATATATCTCTGCTTGATAGTCTTTCTCGCTCTTTTTTTTTTTCATATGGTTACACTTATTCGGCCAGCTTCATCATGGGAATATGTGATCAACCATCTTATTTCACAATATTTGTATATAAGCCGAAAATACCTCCCTTTGTGATGTTTATATAGACTTGGTGTAAAATCCCTTTACAGTATAGACTTTTTATGTATTCTGCAATATGTGATATATGGCGCATATTTATACATTTATTTATATGCTTGCTATTTTCACATGTCAGTGTAATGTAGTACATCCTAAGCAGTAGTCAATAAGCAATTGATGGCTGCATTGGATAGTCCAGCATCAGCAATAGATTGATCAACAATATCAATAAGTTGTGTACGATTAAAGACGAGCTAAACAAAAAAGAAAGAACGTGTAAGTGGGTATTACAAAGGGACTTTTATTTACCTCAAAGTGTTGATTTTCTGCTTCAGGTATTTCGGCTTTAATGAATTCAAACAAATATCTAACTGGATCTGATTTTTTGAATCTTCTTACTATTCTATTGCCATTTCCCATCCTTATCTGTATACGTGTCGTATCTTCTCCTCCTGCTTCTTCTCTTTTAATCGGCTTTATGCTATCAAAAACGGATTCTTCTTCTTTTTCAACTGGTTCTTCATTATCATTTGTTAATGATGATGACGGTGATGACGTATTATTTAATGATGCTGCAATAGCTGCATTCAATTGTTCTTCTTCACTCATATCAGTCAAACTCTGGATTGTTGTTAATCTCTATTTATATCCCTTTCTTTTCTTTGGCTAATTTGGGTCGTTTCATTGTTGCCTTTTCCTCGGCTGCTGCACAACCCTCAAGAAATTCGGTAACTGTACATGATCAAACTGAGTCAACTCGTCATTTGCAGTCTTTTGTTCATTTACCTTCCATCACAAAGTCTGTCGGACTCAATGACTTTTCCCAAACTTTTACTCTTTCGCCAGTACGCGAGTCGATGATTGCAATGTGAGGATATCTTCTTAGTGAATAATATGTGCAATATCTTCTACCATCCGGACTTTCATGTCCAAACTAAAATCATTGTTTTAGTCACTCTATCCTAGAATACAGAATATATTCTCTTCTTTACTTGAAGAAAAATAAACCATTGCCTAATTATATCTTTGACAAATCCATCACTCCATAAATCACGGTTGAGCACTTGACATGAAAATTCGCTTGGGTTTTGTATATTAACCATTATCCACTTGTCGTTTTCTTTGGCTGTCTCTCGAGCCTATATATTCACCATGAATATCATCATAAAGCACAACCATACACACTTACTTGCTCAAAAGAGCCACGAAACATGATATCAAATGGTGGTCTGAATAAATCGGCTAATCTTCTAGCTTTAGAATGGCTTGAACTGTTAGGTGTTTCAGAAGGTGAAACACTCCTAGGGCTGTGATCTAATGCATTCATTAATGATGACCATTCTCTAAAAGCAGTCATGTTCTCTCTCTCTCTTACCATCATCCTCTGTTATATCAAACACGTTCACAATAGATCCTGTTGTTGAATCGCCTTGATTAAATATCGATGGACGACTTATACCATCTACGAGAATGGATGTGGTTTAGTATCTTGCATAATAATAATAATCTGGATTCACCTACTTCTTTCTCTGCTGCTACTTGACCAAGCAATACTGGGATCAAATAAACCAGCGTCTCCCGCAAGAATGTCACGCTTAGGTGCAATGGGTGCTCTAACTTCCTGAGATTCTTGTAATCGTCTTGCTAATTCTTCGTCAGCCAAGACTTGATCTTCATTTATTTCAACATGTTCTGGTTCTCTACTTGATGTCGCAGTATCATGGGCACTCGTGTTGACAGGTGCACCACCATTTTCTAAGAAAAGGGTAACTGCTGTTTGAACATTACCATCAGCTATCTTTTTTATTTATTGAATAAGCAAACCCAAACTAGAGAATAATCTACACTTTTATACCTCCAAGAATTGATTAGCTACTTCAACAGAAGCACCTGTGATATCGCAAAAGCTTAATATATCTTGTTCATTTGCCATTTTAACTTTTGCGTATGCGTATTTTTTTTAAAAAGAAAAAAGAGAAAGAAAAAAAAAAAGACACGTACTGCTTTTTCGCTAATTTATTTACGCATAAAAAAATGATAATTGAAGATGAATTGTCCCTCAGACCGTATACTGAGGGGACATTTGTGTAAAATGACGGCTTACTTCTTTGACTGTTGACCTAGTAGTCATAGATAAATAATCTTAAAAAAGGACAGATGTCATCACGTTACTTGCTGTTAGTTTAAAACGTAGCAACAACAGATCATAAAATATATGGACCAAAGTTAAATAGTACACGGATTAATAAAAAAATAAAAATATAAGCACTTTATTTCATTAAAATATGTTTAAGCAAAGAAAAATTGTGGACCATGTCCTTGAGGACCATGATGGTGACCATGGTGATGATAATGCTTCATAAACTTCTTCATAAGCTTCATTCTCTTCTTAGGATCAAAACCATGAGCAAAACTTTGTGGATCTTCAAAAGGTCCAAAACGGGAATGGGGACCGGGGAAAGGGCCTTGATGGCGTCCAAAGCAAGCATCAGGGCCAGAGAAAGGGCCTCTACGATGTCCAAAGTGGCCTGCAGGATCAAAGAAAGGACTTCCATGATGTCCAAAGCGATCACCCTTGAAATGATGATGAGGATGATGACGGTGGGAGTGTCCTTTGTCTTGAGCAAATTCGTCCTCGCTACTATCGTCTGAGGAACTGGATGAGCTAGAGGAGCCTTCGAAAGGTAAGTTGTCTTCTTTTTCAGCAATTGGTGCTTCTTCTTCTTCTTCTACTTCACTTCTTTGGCCATGACGGCGGTGATGACGATGAGAGTGACGATGGCGACGGCCAAGACGATGAACACGCATTCCTTTACATTTTTTTCCACCAGTAACCATTTTTGCAAGCTTTTTCAATTCGCGATCAAAGTTTTCTTCAGGAGACATTGCCATATAAGTAGCCAAAACACCTACCCATCTGGAAGCAAAGTGGTCAAGAGGTTGATGTTGCTTGACAAGTGATGCCAGCTTTTCAAATCCACAGGACACCAAAAGAGGTTCAGCGGCCTCGGGCACACTACTGAAACGAAGCCCGTCGTAGGGCGTCTTTACCTCGTCCATCAAGTGACTAAGCTCTGTTTGATTTGAAACAGTAGCAGTTGCATTCGTTACAGGATGACGGTAATAAAGAACTAAAGAGTTTGTGTTAGGTGGCGCCTGAGGGATAGATAATTGAAGGATAGTTACGAGATTATCCCAAGTGAGCTTTTCAGGTACCAATTGAACACGGTGAACTTGCTTGTCAGCAAAAGAGACAAAGATGTTTAAGGCCATTTTTAAATTAAGAAAAAAGATGTGTATGAGGTTAAGAACAATGAAAGTATTTCCTTCCTCTTTTATACCTTTTTCTTGATCTGATTTCTCGCTGCGGTATCGCCAAGAAAGCTTGATATGCAATTTGAGCCGAACGAGCGCACCCGTACTATTCAGTGTGAGCAGCGCCGAGTGGCCGCACTTTTGATTGCATAAAAAAGAAAATGATTGGTCACTGTGACAAAAAAAAAGGTGCCGATTTCGGCGCCTTGTAGCTGGTAAGCCTTACTATTCTAAACGTGGATTATAATTGCTGGACTAATGGTTTTTATTCGTTTCTAACAACTGATCTTATTGTTCATTTCATGATTTAGATTATTATACTGTATTTACCGTGAGAAGGATTATCTTGTCAATTATTTAAAAGATATATACCAATGCATTGGGAAAGAGTACTCTGTATCATCACACTTGTTATATAATGATATATCAAAAAAGATCCAGCAGTTAGCCTTTTTCTAGGGAAACCACAAAATGCTTTCAGTTTAATAAATTATATCTCTCAAAAGTAGATAATAAAGAGATTAAACACAAATATTGACTTTATCACGTACAAAGTGATTTATATAAAGTAAATCCATGATTTATTCTAAAATATTTCAATTTTCCTTTATGCTCGTCTTGATGCGAGGGAACAGAACGCCACCCATTTCACCCAATGGTCTCTCCTTATTCACTAGTTTCTTTGCGTCTTTAAAGTATCGTTCCTCTTGAGAAACCCCTAAGCCAGTTAGTAGCTCATTCATCTTTGTAGGCATAACAGGCTGTAGAAGAATTCCTGCAATACGACATGTCTCTAAGGAATACCATAGAACTGTATCAAGTTTATCCTTTTCTTCAGGTTTCTTTGCCAGGTTCCAAGGCTCAGCGCGAGTAAAGTATTTGTTTGCCTTTAACAAAGTTAATAATGGCATTTTAATCTTTTTCTGATTGTGATTTACCTGCGATAGAAGATCGACGATTAAAGACAGTGCTCTTCCAAATTGTCGTTCTTCAAAGGCTTCGTGGTATTTATCTATATTATTGAATGATTATCAGTAATTAAATCATAAAAAAAAGCTCATATATACCTGCCACTTCCAATAACATATGATGCAGTGTTTCATCTCCAATGTCAATGTCCTTTCTTGTAGGTACTATTCGACTGGGAAGTAAGGCTTTACCTGTCGCTCGGCTTAATAAGTTACCAAATTGACCGGCGAGTTCCTTTGAATAAAGTTGTGCAATCATTGTCTCAGAATAGTCTGCACAAAGCATGAGTAGATTTTTATAGAACGCTATTTCTCTATACCTGCATCGTCTGCCATGCCACCATTATGGACAAGATAGAAGCGAACAGGGTCAACGCCGTAACGGTCAATGACCTCAAAGGGATCTGCAACGTTTCCTCTGCTCTTTGACATTTTTTGTTTATTCATCGTCCAATGGCCATGTACAAGGATCTGTTTGGGTATGGGTAAACCAGCTGCCATCAGGAAGGCAGGCCAAAAGATGGCATGAAACCTAAAGTCGTAGTGAATATCTAAGCTAGTTTATTATTATTATGTACTCTACCTTACAATGTCCTTTCCAACAATCTGTACGTCAGGAGGAAAGGCGTCCTTTAAGGGTGCATCCTTTTTCCAAGGGTATCCAGTTGCAGTAAGGTAGTTTGTTAAAGCATCTAACCAAACATAGATTGTATGCTCTGGATCATTTGGCACCTGTATTCCCCAGTTCAACCGTGCTCGTAAGCGAGATACAGATAAATCAGCGAGCCCAGCCCGTATCCAAGAAAGAACTTCGTTTTTTCTGTTCTGAGGCACAATGGCCTTCGGATTGTCATCGATCCATTTGAGCAAATCCTTTTCGAATGCAGAAAGTTTGAACTTGTAGTTTTCTTCAGACGTCCACTCCACACGCTGCCCTGATTCTTTAGATACCATGATTTTTTCACCTGTCTTTTCGTCTGTCACTTCTTCAACCTGAGCAGATGCGTAGAATGCTTCATCAGATACCGCGTACCACCCTTCATGCTTTCCCTTGTAAATGTAACCGTTCTTTAAAAGTGTGTTCTATTAAAGTATAAGACAGGTTTCCTTTTTTCGAGATCTTAATTAATATATATATATATATACCCATAGTTCATTGACAGCAGTCGCATGATCTTTACTTGTTGTTCGTTGGAAACTCGTATATTGAATGTTGGCTGCTTCACACAGTTTCTATACATATAATAAAGATCAGTTTGTGATGCCTCTTTTTTAATTCTAAACGTACCTTGAAGCTGTCAGATACTTTATTACAAAAATCCAATGGTTCCATACCATTCTTTTCTGCAGCTTGTTGGATCTAAAGAAAGAGTGAGTCAAGGGAACTGTGGTACTTTTGAAACTACCTTCAGACCGTGTTCATCAGTTCCAGTTGATAGGATGGCCTCTTTTCCATGCAATATATAATATCTACGAAGTGTATCAGCCAATACTGTTGAATAAAGGTGACCAATATGAGGAACTTTGCAAATAAAACAACCCATGTTAATGATCTAATAACTTTATGCATGGTAGATCACCTTACCTGCATTCACATAGTAAATAGGTGTGGTAACATATGCTTTTGTATGAGAGTGACGCTGATATAGTTTAGAGCCAAAAAGAAGGTTTGTCCTTTTGGAAGCAACTCCAAGCCGTAAGGTGCGCATAAGGAAAGACCCTTTGAAGATAAAATGAAGTCAAAAACAGGGAAGAGGCTGATGTTCAAATTTTGTTTTGGGTGTCTTTTTTTTTTTTTTTGGTCTGTCAAAAAAGCATCTTTCACGTTCAACATGTATAAACTTTGGCTTATGGGTTTCTTAAAGCAGCTTAAACAGAGAGAGAAACAATTCCGATTATAACAAATAGTACTTGTTTTTTCAAGTTTATTTTTTTGACAGTTATTAGACTAATGTGTTTATTTGTTTACTTTCTTTTTTAAAAAACAAACATCACATTTTGTCCTTGTCAAACATTTCTTTTTCTTTCTCTCTTTTCCCGTTTTCTTTGTTCATTAATTATGTCAGCTACTTTAAGCAGATTGCCCTTGATTCCCTTATCTCCACTTGTTCAAACATCGATTGACTCTGCCAAATATCTTGCAGCAATCACTCAAAATTTATCTGAACATCCTGATGACACTAGGCTTCAGAAACATCTATCTTCAACCAGAGAAAAATTAGATCAAATCACCAAACACACCCAAACGATTCAAGTGAGCTTCCTTACTCAATTTAGTACACAAGAGATTGCACAAGAGATTGCCTATATTAATTCTCAGCTCTTTCGACTGGTCGTTCTTGATTCTGCGTGGATAGCCAACTATGATAAACGAGTGAACGTGATACCTATGTTGGATTTTCACAGATATTTGTCTCATGCATTTGCTCATGAAATCATTTGCAGCTCCTCAAGAAATGATGGGAATATCGTGGCTCATCTCATACAAATCGCTACAATGCTTCTGTTTGTTTATCGTGACTTTTCTGGTTGCACAGCCATTCTCAAATGCTTACAGATGCCAGAAATACAACGAATTGAAAACGCCTGGAGCCAGTGCCCGCCCAAGATGATAAAGGTGTTTAAAGAGCTCTTACCTCTTATATCCCCAGATAATCAATATGAAGTCTACCGCCAGGC